AGTCCCCAAGACTGCAAAAAGAAAGACCAAGGTAACGTTCACTTATGCTTGCAAATCAAGGAGGGCTGAGATTGTTTATGAGGCCTAACTGGCCCTTTCTTCTCAGCTACCCCTCAGGTATGGTCTCCATTTTCATTTACTTTAGCGGGCTGATCTATGAACATCTCTTTGTTGATGGACATTCTGTCTCTCTTCACTGCACCCATCCCGGGTACCTTCAGAGTAAACATACTTGATTCCTATTCTTTGTGGCCAAGCAGTGAGCATCTGCTGGCCCCACCCAGGCTGACCCCCACCCTCCACCCATGTGCCTTTCATTCCTTGAGTTCTGTCTTTAGTCCAGACAGTGCCTCACTGCCCAGTACGGAGGACAATATGCTTGTCCCTAACTGGCTACACCACACCTTCACTTGGCATCTCAAACTTCCATTCCAAGCTGAACTCCCTTTCCCTCCTAGATCTCTTCTCCACTATGGTCCCCAGTCTTGCTATTGGCCACTCTGTTCTTCCAGTTGCCCATGAATCTGTGTCCCTCTCAACGCTACTGCTTCTTATATATTTCATTTCCAGCAAATCCTGCTTCTAGAAATATCTAGAGTCTGCTGTCTTCTAAAGGCCCTAGCAAGGCTGATTTCTCCTTTCCTTCTTGGCCCCTTGCTGACCCTTTGTCTCAGGTTGTATTCTCCCAGCAGACACTGCGATGGAGGTTGGCACACATGCAGGGTGTCTGCTAGGGGTCCATATGTGTGAAAGTGAGGGAGGCAACGAGATGTAGCAGAAATCAGCTGTGCATGAGGCTGAGGCAGTTTGGTAACTCCACAGGGACAAGAGGCAAGCAGGCCTACTCTAATAACTAGTTATGTCTTCCTTCAATTCTCATCAAGATTTCAGTGTGTGAGTTCAATCCCTAGTAACACACACACACACACACACACACACACACACACACATCTTTTCTTTAGAGCTGGTGATGTAGCTCAGAGGCACAAGCACCTGCCTGGCAAGCACAAGGTCCTGAGTTTGACTCCCACTACAAAAAAAAAAAGATTCCAAGGTCTGAAAGACAGCCACAGCTGACTGGCACAGCAGCTGTAAGAGCAAAGGAACAGAAACCCAAGTATCTTCCATTATTTGTAATGCCAGACCAGAAAGGTAAAACCAGATCTCTGTGGGGTGCCTCTGTAATCCCAGCACCCTGGGAAATAAGACAGGAAGACCACAAGATAGAACCCAGCCTGGGCTACTTGAACATTTAGCAAGACCCTGTCTCAATTAAAAAAGAAAGAAAGAAAGAAAAAAGTGATGGGCTCCACCTTCAGAATAATAAAAAGTCAGAATCTATAAATCATAAAAAAAGAGAAAGAAATCAGCTGCAAAACAGGCCTGACATAGCCATAGCCCACCTAGGAGACAGCCATGGAGAAAAACGAGCTTGGCACGTGTCCTGAGAGCCAGGCCTGCAGGTCCCATCCTCTTAGGCTGTGGTACGCAGGCTGACCGAGGTGAGGCGCCCCTCCACAGCTGAGGCAGACCCGGAGGTGCTGAAGGCTGGAGACCGCCGATCACTCTTCCAGGAGGTGGCGCTGTACCCTTTATCTCTCTAACACACCTGTGCGTCCTTGCCACCTTATACTCTATAAAATCTAGGAATCTTATTTTATTGATTACCTGAGTCCTTCATTGGAATGTAAGTTCTAACAGTAGAGGGATTTGGGGGTCGCTTTTGGCCACTGCTGCATTTAGAGCTGCGCCTGGTTCACAGTGGACACTCCAGAAACACTTGATGATCAGTTCAGTCATCTGTCTATTCATCACATTATACAAGCCTTGCAAGGGCCATGTCTTAGTCATTTTGACACTGCAGAGCATATAGTGGGGTTGCCGAAGAGATGGGTCAATAAACCTATGAGTGTGTGTTATTAACTTCATCACAAGGAAAGATTTGTGCAGCACTCCCCGATAGAAATGGCACATCAGCCACCCCTATAGTGGGAAATTGTTATCAGGTACATCAAAAGCTAAGGAGGGGCTGGGCATGGTGGTGTACGCCTGCAATCCCAGGACTCAGGAGGCTGAGGGAGGCCGACTGGCCAGCCTGGGCTACCTAAGCAAGTTCAAGTCCAGCCTACACTAGAGGGAGAGACCCTGTCCCCCCCCCCCAAAAAAAAAAGAAAAATAGTAGACAAAAAATGAAGGGGGAACAGATTATATTATTAATTGTAATATTATGCTGCTTAATTCAGTATATCCAAAGTAGAATCATGTCAACATGGAATCAATATAACATTCACTAATAAAATTATTAGTGATTTTTACATGGTTGTTTTACACTTCAGTCTTATATAAAGTTTCTAATATATACTACGGGTTTTACATTTATACCACATTGCAATTTGGGCTAGTTACTCTCCGAGAGCTTCATAGTTCTGGGCTAGGGCAGTTCAGGGCAGGATATGAGGGAAAGTGTCTGGCGTAATTGGCCTTCTGTCCCCTGATAACTCTAGCTGACTAGCTGTCAATGTCCTCTAGCCGAAAGCACCGGGAACACAGCTGTAATCAGACAAGTGTTGTGGACTGCTTGTTGGAAGGTAAGAAACCATGGGCGTCAGGGTCAAACGACATCACAAAGAACTTATTGTAGGGCTTGTGTGATTTGGGAGGGTTTAAGGAAAGAGGACCTGTCTCTTGATTGGATGTTGATGGGAAGTGAAGGGAATTCTAAGAGTGGGTCTCTTCTTTTCTCCCCTGGCACTGGGAATTAATTCCAGGGAACATTTAATTTTTTTTTTCAGAGCCAGTTATTGAACTCAGGCCCTTATGCTTGCCAGGGAAGAGCTTATTCTACTGAGCCATCTCCCCAGCCAGTCCAGAGAGCACTTTGAGTTAACCTCCCCAGACCTTTTTATCTTTTCTTTCTTTTTCTTTTGTTTTTGTTTTTGGACAGGGTCTTGCTATGCAGTCCAGGCTGGCCTTGAGCTCACTTTGAGCCTGTGCTGGTCTTGAACTCACAACAGTCCTCCTGCCTCAGCCTCCTGAGTGCTGGGAACAGGCGTGTGCTACCACACCCGGCCCTTTTTTATTATTAATTTTGAGATAGGATCTTACTAGGTTGTCCAGGCTGTTCAGCCTCCCGAGTAGTTGGGGTTACAGGTGCTGCCCTCAAACTTGCTGTCCTCCTGGTTCAGCCTTTTGAGTATCTGAGATTATAGGTCTAGACCGCCACTCTGGGCAAGATTGAATATTTTATCAATCTTATCTACATAAAGCAACAGTTGATAGTCTCATGCTGTAATGGATAAACAATTGGGAGTCTCCTACATTAGCCAGGATAGGAGGCTGTCTGGTCGTTTTTCTGGTTTGTATGTTTATATTTTGGCTGCATGAGGACAGGATTATAGGGCGGCCCTGTGCAGTGCTTATGTTCCAGAGGAAGAAGCGGGTGTGAGCACCCAGCAGCATCAAAGCCAGGCTAATTGCTACCTATACTTGGGCCCAGAGCTTAAGTGGTGCTCTTCTCTCTCTCATCGATATGTAGGCATCTGACTGAACTTTTGCCGTCTCTACAAAGGAAACACAAAGCCGGGGGTGGAGGCACAAAGCCGTGATGCCCGCACCAGGGAGGCCCAGGCAGAAGGACTGCCTCCAATGCCAGGCTAGCCTGGGGTGTATCGTGAACTCATGGCCTGCTAACTACACAGTGACGGCCTCTCTGGGGGCAAGACTCCAGAAATGGGGAACCAAAAGCACTCACCTTTCTACTGTAAGGTTATCAGTATTAAGTAAGGTAACGTGAGAAAGGAGGACAGTACCAGGTACACATAGTCACCATTCAGTAAATGCCATCTGCTGCAGTTCAAAGACTTTGCGATGCAGAACACTTACATTTGAATATTTCTGAAATCAGGTGTGTTTCAAATGATAGTGTTGAAGTCAGGGATTACATGGGAAAAGATTTAATACAGGACACATAATCTATAGGATTATTTTAGAATATTCACTCCAAGAGTCAAATGGAATAGAGCGTGGGAGGTCTGTCTCACTAACAGAGACCCAAAGAATCCACCTGAGGGCTTTGGTCCCATGGCAAAATCCTGCAAGAGTCCATCTGGGGATCTGGAGCCCAGGACAGAGTCTCATGTAAATCTGTGTCAAGGATCTGCTCTGGAAAGACGCACAGGTCAGTAGTGGAAGCTACAGAGCCTGCGCCAGCAGGGTGAAGAATGTAGGCAGCTGGATGAAGGAGCTGCCCAGGAGCCAAGAAACAAAGCTCAAGGTAAGCACCAGAGCCATCCTGGGCAAAAGGGAGGACCCGCGCTCCTCCAGTGATGAGAAAGCTGAGTTAGCGTCAGGGAAAGCAGCGGGCCAAGCTTCTCCAGGAGGAGCAACAGCACACCACCTTCCCCTTCAGTTCTCTCTTTATGCTGTTGGCCACAATCCCAGTGGGCCTTCCACGTCCAGCACCATGCTGATTCAGTTGGGCTGGGTGTTTCAGGTTGACCGTTAGCAGATGTCTTCTCAGAATGGACCCAGCGCCCCCTTTCATGCTTTCTTTCTCCTTTTCATTGTAGATCAAAAATAGGGAGACCTGGGCTTTTTCCTAAAGAGGGCATAAAAATGAGCAGAACCCAGATTAGGATTATGGCATGTGAAAGAAAATAACTGAAACCCATTATATTTCACAAATCATTAAAATGATGGGGATTCATCATGCCACTAAATTAAAAAAAAAAAAAGGATGAAGTGCAGTAGTGTTTTTGAGAGCTCTGGTAGGTCGATCTGAGAGACAACCGCTCGCCCTCTCCAGCCGCGCAAGTCATACCTGGCCAAAGGCTTTACTTTCAGCCTCCCTCACCATCCCCGCTTCGGAACACGCCCCCTCCACAGTCCTCGAGCACCACGGAAGACCTGGCGCCGCTCTCCCAGGCAATACGGGCGGACGGCGGCAGAGCTCGCGAGATTACGGCGGCGGCGCGGCGCCCACGCGGCGGGGTCGCCCGGGGCAACCGCCGCCCGGCCGGCGGTCAGCTGACGGCGCCCGGCAGGCCGCGAACATGGCGGCCGAGATCCACTCCAGGCCGCAGAGCAGCCGCCCGGTGCTGCTGAGCAAGATTGAGGGCCACCAGGACGCCGTCACGGCCGCGCTGCTCATCCCCAAGGAGGACGGCGTCATCACGGCCAGCGAGGACAGGTAGTGGGCCGGCGGCCGCGGGGGCGGGGCGGGCGGCCAGGACGCGCGGTCAAGCCGGAGCCGTGGGTCCGCGGCC